ATGAGAATCCATCCGCCTCTCAACAACCCGAGAATGTCAACATGGAGCAGGTTGATTATGATCCAGATTCCGACGACGATGAGTCCGATGAAGAAGGGCATCCTCTCCAAGGAAGGCCCCTGTCAAAGGCGATGCCACATCCGAAACTTGTTCCAAAGTCACCGCCACCGACACTGAGGCTTGTCTCCAAGGTCAAGCCAGCACCAAAGAACACCCTGGATGACAAGACGGAATCCGACAATCATCCTGGTGATCGACCTGCACTTCCAAGGCGACCAGTGATGCGGCCTGTTCTCACATCCAACGATCGGTGGTTTGTAACATATGGATCGGATACGGACATCAGCCTCCAGAAGGAATCCGTGCACTCAGGGCCATTCGGAAACTCAAAATTCCTGGAATGCTCAACCATCCTTGATGTCAATCCAGATTTCCACTTCGTTCCTGAACACGAGAGACCGCATGGAGTTAAGGTATTCTGGTTGAAGGCAAGATTCAACGATTACTGGCACCGACACTCCAAGGTGAAGGACCTCACGCAGAGAAGCAATACATGGACTTCATCAAGAAGGTCTACAGCATTTGCTGCTACAGCAATGCTCAATCCGAAGTTTACGGAACCGACATCATCCCGATGGTATGCCACAACGGCAACATTGATCTCGATAAGACCGTCCAGAATGTCGAACAGGTTTGCAAATATTTCCGCATTGACACATCCAAGGCGAAACAGATCACAGATCTCATCCTCTGGCGAATTGAGAGAATGAGCAGATCGTTTTCCGGATGTCTTCGACATGATCCAAGGCATGGAATCCATAAGGAATGCAAACGGCAGGTGGAAATGGGTCCTGATGGATCCGTCGAGCTCTATGACGCATTGACCTGCATCACACATGCCAGGAACTTCATTGGAAACAAGCCAGGATTTCTCTTGATGGCTATGTTCCCGAGCTATGGAAAATCACGTTTCGAAATTGCGTTCGTATTTCCATCCGTGGACGGGACATATAAAGAGCGCAAGGCACGGGGAGAAATTGTTCCAAGGAATCGATGGATCGACAAGCTCACCACCAGATCCGCACAAAGTGCACTCAGGCCCGATGGCAAGGACTTCTATGTTGATCCTGAGATGGAGTTCTGTGTGAGATGCAACAGCGGACACACACGACAAGTCGATATCCAATCCTTTGGACGACCCCTGTTCTCTGAGCAGAAGGAGCCTCATTACGACGAACCGGACTATGATTTGCCAACGGAATCCATTCCGCCAAGTCCGCATCCGTCAAGATCCGAGGCGCCTCATGGAGATGAAAGCACAGCTCAGCCCAAGTACAGAATGCGAAGGCCGGCACCACCATCCGTTGAAGAAGAGAGAAAGATCAAGCCGTTCTCGAAGAAGCCCATCACATTCATGTTCCATGCAACCTATGGAAGTCAGCTCTACAGCATCATGGAGCAAGGGCTCAAATCTGGGAAGTCCCAGTCAAACCCTTCGGGGAGAATGCACGTTCACATGGCATGCATCGATGACGTCATCCTCGAAGACGACGATTCAGAAACCGCATTGACCCATGTGCCAGCAGGAAGAGATGCGTTGCTGATCCTTGCATTTCTCAAGGACCAAGAATATGGCATCCGCCTTTCCGAAGAGAGAACAGCGTTGACAGACAAAACCATCGAGGCAAGAAACATTGTTGCAGCATTCGAACCTGATGGCAGCCTCATGGCGAGCAACAAGTGGATCATGAAGAAGTATCTCGATCATGAAGATTACGAGATGTACGACACCAATATCCGCGAATTCGCCGATGCCTTCTTCACGTATGTGAATTCCACCAAGCACAACAAGGAAAAATATACTTCCTCAGAGACCAAGAAGAGACGGCGTTCCACCGATCAGGACCCCACCGAAGGAGAAATGATGGAACCCTCCGGGGAAAGATCCGTCCAGCCCAAGGTCATCGTGGAATATCACAGTTCAGAGATCCTAGAAGAGTTCATCCAAGAACTCAAGGGAACCTATCTCGAAATAGATATGAACAAAAAAGACGCAGAGGAAGAGCTCGCGGGGATCAAGGAAGAACTCAAAAGCTTCATGAACCAGTTCAACAAAGATCCGAAAGGAGCTCATCCCAAGTTGACAGAGTGCGAGAGAGCCTCATTGGCACATGTCGATTTTGATGTCAATCTCGGTGAAGAAGAATTCTACTTCCCTCATCGAGGAGAATGTCCCACCATTGACGAGCACAAGCAAGCTCAACCAGGATCCGGATATCCGATCAAGCTGCCGCTTGGACTGAAGAAGCTCAGGACCCGAAAATCATCCGAGCCTATGCTCATATCCTGGGATCGCTGATGCAGCCGACTGACCATCCTTCCGTGGACTATCTCAACATGCATGAGTTCACCTCATCCATAGGGATCAACATCCTTACCCTGAACCATGGAAACCTCACAAGGAATCCAAAGTTGGACAACAGGGAGGTGTACAACATGCCGATGAAGGATCGACCGGTCGTCAAGATGATGATGCAGAACAGCGCGCGCATCTTATGCCTGAGTGAGGCAGACGCATTCTTCAGTCCGAATGATGAGAAATCCAGGGAGCTCATCAAAACGTTCATCCGATACGGTTACAAGGGCATTGTGATCAAGCAATGGTCATCCAGACCGATCGCATGCTTTGTCCGCGGCGGACCCTCTGCACGAGTGGAACTTCTGGCAAGACACATTTCTACCAGGAGCCAGAATTGGGGAACCACATTCGGAATGTTCAGATGTTTCTTCGGAACCAAAGAAGATGGCACTGATCCCGAATACGAAATTCCGACCTCGGATTGCTTGGCAACCACAGGAACATCCATGTTTACCGAATCCAAGAAGTACATTGGATCGAGATTGCCAGCACGCACCATTGTCCAAGGACATGGCCGAGACAAGGAGATCGTCGTTCTCCACATCGAGCAGAGTGATGAGTTTCATGGCATGATCCCGAAATCATCCGACAAATCATACTACGAGTATGATGACCGCCATATCACGAGGGCAGACTTGCCATTCGCGACCATTGGAGTTTTCCACATCCATCCGTCACTTAGTCATGGAGCAGCAAAAGAAGATCTTCAGAACGAAAGCATGCCGCTCGTGACCTTGTACCGATGCGATGCTATCACCGGAGACGCCAACAAATCGGCGAACACCTACAGCAAACTCCAGCATGTCTACAATCCAACCAACGGTCTCGTGAACATCCTCACGAGAGCATATCAGAGATTGTGGAATGCGACGAAGAATTTGCCACTCGTGGACAGAATGGAGTATACGGTGGAGACTTCGTGCACCCTGAAATCCATTGTCCGTCATCACCTGTACATGAAACGCGGATCAGGTTTTGATCGAACATTCCCAGATGTGATGATGACTATTGTATTTGGATGGGGCAAAACGAACATCCAGCAGGACTTCCGGAAGATCGAAATGAACAATATGGATGATGAACAACTGGAATTCATGCGGAACCATCCGAACAAGGCCATTTTCGATTACCAGGTCTCATCCGCAGAGCGCTACAAGCACGTGAACAATGAAATGTTCATGAACGGCTCGCAGGACTCCGACTCCCACAGTCCTCTCATGGTTTACATCCGCAGCAGATCTGCAACCAGCAAACGCAGCTCTGAGAGATACCAGGATTACGTCAAGAAGAGACAATCCTGGACCACGCAGGAGTACAAGGACTACAACAAGCAGTGGGGATATCAGAAGCAGTGGAAGCAGTGGGATGGTATCGTCGATCCGACTGACCATGAAGATACGTTCAGCACCACGAGCGATCCAGATGATTGATCCTCCTCGTCTACAAGACTATACCATGAGTGAGTGATCAATAGTTTCACACTTGTTCCGCGTGTACATAGCGTTGTACATCACCCTTTGATACAATTAGGTATCCGAAAAGAAGCGTACATAGTGTTTCCCATTTCGAAGGCCAAGACATTTCATCCAGCAGAAAAAGCATGAATCCGGCTCTTTTAATCACATGGCTACGGCACACATTAAGGCTACGGTCAAAGGCCATGAAGCCAATAGTATTTCATACTTTGTGCCGGAGATCAAAAGAAATTTGTGTCTGTTTTGTGTTCTGTTTCTCAGACTATTGATCTCCCGCAACATTTGGCTCAAGGCCCCTTTTGCATAATCACGACCATTCGAGCGTGAGGACAAAAGAGCCATTGCAGGCCGCTTACAGGATTATCCATCAGACAATCCACCAGGGACAATCCATCCTCCTATTGCTCAACTACCACAGGGTTCCAGTTCTCTCCGGGGATAGGCACCTGGGGCAGTGGGCCTCACCCCCCCCCCTGAACAATGGAGGCGCCAAAATAATGGGGGTGCACTTTTGGGACGTCCAAACAATGTAAGAGTGGCCAAGGGAATCGTTCGGGCTCGCAGGTGGTTTGACCGTTTACCCGTCACCAATGGGGCTTCTTGGATAATCTTGGACACACCCAGTAGCTACTTAGCATTTGCTTGTTCTGTTTTGAGCACGGCGGCTTGTGATTGTGGGCAATAATTGCTGGCTGCTCATGCTGATACGTTTCTATCGATCATCACCAAAGCAGCTCAAAAAAACCCACGGGAGTGCACCGGTTTGTATCGAATGGTTTGCTGCTTGTTTCCTGGCTTCAATGGTTCGCTTGGCCAACTTGATGTCTTGTTTCGTGGCAAGTGACGGCCTGACAGCAAGGCAGTGGAACATTGCCGATTCAGTTGCGCGATTTGATCAAACAGGCCACGAACATGACAGCTGCATTTCTAGGAAAAAGTTTTGCTCCCGTAAAGGTAGTTGCTTGATTCAGGCCTGAATATCCTTGTTGAACAATATTCCGCACTGATCAAAGCATTTGAGTCCTCATGCTTGAGGCAGATGTCAGTTTAAGTGAGGCCCGCACCACTCCCCTCCGCCCCAGAATCCCTGAAGCTTTCGATCCAAGGCTTGGTTTGGCTGCTGCGGAATGCGGAAAGCCCGGTAGCTTTGACCTGTGAACTTGAGATTGCTGTGACAGCCATTCGAAAAAGAGCGCTTGCTTTCCATAATTTAACATGCGTGTTTGGTTGGCTTTGGCGTGCGCATGCTGGGTGGAAGCTCAGCTTGGGGACACGCAAGCAATGTTCTTGCCTTGGGTTTTGTTGCTATCGGAATGCCGGAGCCGGAGAAAAAACACCCCCCCAGCCGCATTGGCGCCGGCTGCCCAGTGCCCAGAACAGTAAAAAGCAAGCCCTTCCGCGAAGCCTCCAGAATCTACCCGGTAGAACGATTACCAGCCATGGCAAGAGTGATTACCCTAATCTGTGCGCCATCTGGGGAAGAGAAACACATCGAATTGCAGACAGACATGACCGTCCGCAAGTTCAAGAGGCACCTGCACCGATGTCTGCCCTGTGAGACGCTTCGCAGCGTGACATGAGCTCGGCAGAGCTGGTTGTCGGAGACAGGCCCCTTTTGAACAACGAGGAGATGGTGTCGAAGGCGATTCCAGGTGCAGAAGCTTTGGCTTTCCTCAGCATCAAGCCGGTGAACTGCTCATGCGCCTCCACATCCGGCTGCGAGCGGGAAGATCTGCGCGTTGTGAGCATTTTAGAAGACTATGGACCGTTTGGGCAACTAGACCGGGTTGAAAACCTGGCTTTCACTGACTGTAGTTTTTTGGTATGCGTGACAATTCCCAACAGTGTTTGGGCGATTGGGAGACACGCCTTCAAAGGTTGCTGCTCACTGGCAAGTGTGACCATCCCGAACTCTGTGCAGGAGATTGGACCTTTGGCCTTTCACGGATGCAGATCCCTTGCAAGCGTGACCATCCCGGATTCCGTACACTCGATTGGCAAGAGTGCCTTTTGCGGATGCAGCTCGCTTACAAGCGTGACCATCCCCGGCCCCGTGACTGATATTCTAGAAAATACCTTTCAAGATTGCAGCTCGCTGGAAAGCGTGACCATGCCCAATTCTGTGACTTGGATTGACGAAAGTGCCTTTCGAGATTGCAGTTCCTTGGCAAGTGTCCCCATCCCCAACTCTGTAGAGTTTATTGCAGGCAGGGCCTTTTGCGGATGCAGCTCGCTTACAAGCGTGACCATCCCCAATTCTGTGCTTGAGATCGGTGAAAGTGCCTTTCAGGATTGCAGTTCCTTGTCGAGCGTTACCATCCCAAACTCCGTAGTGTATATTGACGATGGTGCTTTTCGCGGATGCAGCTTGCTTATAATCGTGACCATCCCCGAGTCCGTGAAAAGAATTCGACCAAGCGTCTTCCGAGATTGCAGCTCCTTGTCAAGTGTCACCATCCCCGACTCCTTACGGGAGATTGCAGATAGTGCCTTTCGCGGATGCAGCTCGTTTACAAGCATGACCATCCTCTTCCAAGATCGCAGCGTCTTGGCAAGCGTGGTCATCGAAGATTCGGTCCCTGAGGTGAGTGCTGCTTCCTTGGCAGACTGCAGCTCGTTGACAAGTGTGAGCATCCCCAACTGCGTGAGAAAGATCGGCCAAAGTGCATTTCAAGATTGCAGCTCGCTGGAAAGCGTGACCATCGCCAATTCTGTGACTGTGATTGAAGAAAGTGCCTTTCGAGGTTGCAGCTCCTTGGCAAACGTCATCATCCGCAACTCTGTAACTGTGATTGGAGACAATGCCTTTCGCGGATGCAGCTCGTTAACGAGCATGACTATCCCAGACTCTGCAACTCGGATTGGCAAGGATGCCTTTGCTGGCTGCAACTTCGAACCTATTTGCAGGGGCGCTGGGCAGGAGTGGGATGATTTTCCGCAAATTGAGAAGGTCAACTGAACGAGCTCCAATTTGAGGGCAAAACAAGATCACCCTTGAAGGTCCTTTACTTGGGTGTTCCTTGTTTCCATTTTTAGAATCATAGTACGTTGCCAGTCTGTGGGTTGTCTGCTTTGAGAAGCCAACTGGATTGTAGCAGAATCGTAGACCCCATGTCATACGTGGGTGAGTTTGAGTGGGCAACGGAGCGATTTGCAATGCTTCATAACGCAGCATCCTAATCTTTGCCAGCGATTTGGTAGTATTGGAATCAAATTATCATTTTTCCCGAAAGCATCGCGAAGGGTTCTTCCGCGCGGAGCTCTCGGACCAACTTGCATAGAGTCAAACACATAGAGCCTCGTGCATGGAGCCAAGTGCATAGAGCCGTGCATAGAGCCAAGTGCGTGGAGCCAAGTGCGCAGAGCCAAGTCCACAGAGCCAAGTCCATAGAGCCAAGTGCATAGAGCCAACTGCATAGAGCCAAGTGCACAGAGCCGAGTAGCCGAGTGCAGAGAGCCGAGTGCATAGAGCCAAGTGCATAGCGCTTCGGCGTTAGCAGCTATGTAAGTTAAGTTTAGCTTTCTAGGGCGCCGGGGCAGGACTTTGATCGTCGATCGGGTCGAGGTGCAAAAACTCGGTTTTTTTGCGACTCTTGCGGTGCCCGCGCGATTCTCTGCGGTGTGGTCGAGGTGCAAAAACTCGAGGTTTTTTGCGACTCGGGGATCGGCGTGGTCGAAGTGCAGAAACTTGAGGCTTTTTGCGTTTTTGCGGCGCGCGGATGAACCCTCTGCGGGGATCGGCGTGGTCGAGGTGCAAAAACTTGAAGTTTTTTGCGACTCTTGCGGCGCCCGCGCGACAGGTTTCAAAAACTCGAGGTTTTTTGGCGTTTCTGCAGTGCGCGATGAATTCTCAGCGGAGATCGCGCGTGTCGAATCGCTCTCTCTGTGGAGCCGTGCGGATTCGTTTTAGTCTCGGCGAACCCTCTGCGGAGATCGTGCGTGGCGAAGCGCTCTTTCATTGCTCGCGAAATGGCCTTCGGAAGTTGTCTCGTGGTTTGCGCGCCTGCTTTCGCAATCGCGCGGTCGCGGGTTCGATTCCCCGCTGGTCCGCGGCAGCTCCGGCTGAAGCAAAGAAGCCGTAGTATGTGGAGTGTACTTCTGGCGGCTCCGACCGGAAAATCGCAACCCTCTGGTGCGCGGAGCACCTCCACAGCTCAGCTCAGGCTGAGCATCTTGCGCACAGATACAAGCGCCGAGCGTCTTGCGGAGAGAAACTTGCACAGAGCAACGTGCAGAACAGCTTGCAGACAGATGTCGAGCGACTTGCGTGCAGCAGCTTGCAGAGAGCAACTTGCGCGCAGCAGCCTGGAACAATGCAGCTTGCGCAGACATTGCCACGTTTCCTCTCGTAGGACGATGAGATGGAGCTCGCGTGGCCGCGTGCAGACACGCTCGCCGCATTGCGCCGCCGCATCGATGTAAAAAGGTGCCTCCGCGGCTGGAAGAGCGCTGTGGGAAAAAATGCTTTCGGGCCAATCGTCCTTTAGTTTGGGCCCGGGACATAGGGGACGAGCCCGAAATTTCGGACTCGAACACCAGAGGGGCCTCGTTGGTCCCCAAGGTTTCCATGCCCTTGACAGGAGCCAAACACATGTTTAGGAACGCCGGAACAGGCGGATTGTCCGGAGCACCGCCGATTATGAATTGGCACGTTTAAATGTTTAAGCGACGCTTAAACGGTTCTTGAGGGTGAGATCTTTTAAGGCCAGGTTCACGGGCCCCGGAGGGCCTGAGGGAGCAACTGTTAGAGTCAGCTCTTAAGCAATGTTTAAGCGGCTGTTAAGCATATTCAATGCCAAGTTTAAGGGCCACCGAGACAGAAACCGCTTAGACGAACCGTGTTTAGGCGGACCGTTTAAGCATGTTCAAACTTGTAAGCATGTTGAAACGGCCCCCCAACACCTGCATCTTCCTTCCTGTGTTTGGGGTGGTGGTGGTGGTGGTGGTGGTGGTGGTGGTGGTGGTGGTGGTGGTGGTGGTGGTGGTGGTGGTGGTGGTGGTGGTGGTGGTGCTGTGATTTGCTCGTGCCAAAAGGCGGCTTCTCGCAAAGGGGCTCACGCGCGTTGAAAAACACGCCGTTGGCACAATGTCCAGCGCTTGAACAAGCCCCCAAATGTTCACCTGGTTTTCTGCTCACTGTGTGTCAAGGGAACGTTCAATCAAATGTCGTTTAAGCAATGTTCAAAGATCAAAGAGTTTAAACATGAGCCAGCAACATTCCTGATTGGGACCCAGGTTTCCACAGCACGCTGTTGCGATTCCACCAGGGCACTGGAGCTAACAGCAGCCGCTGTCACCAGGATGCAAACGGATCAGCAGCTGGTACGGCGTAGAGCCACCGGAACACCACAGACACTTCAAGTCACTGCCCAGAGCCCAAACACCAACAAGACCACTGGGATATCCCAAACACCAACAAGACCACTGAGATATGCCCAAGACATCGCCGGAACATCACCGAAACACGACGGACCGGGACACACACGCAGACAGCACCGAGACATCAATGGGGCAGGTTCCACCGCCGTACCAACGCCATACCACCGGGACCAAACCATCAGAACACAACCGCCCGGATAGTTCCAGCGGGGCATTGCACGAACACCAAAACACCACCAGGAAACCAGCAGGACGTGACTGGGACACCACCGCGACACGACCGCCGCCAGGACACCGCCAGGACATCACAGGGACAGTACTACCTCCGCCGGAGCACCGAGACACGAGCGGGACAAATGGGACAACACCGAGAACAACAACCAGAACATCTCAAGAACACCACACCCGGGACACCTGCCGTTACGCCCATCCACGCACGTGAGTACACAGAGAGAACGCGGCAAATCAGCAATTAAACACTTCTACAAACATGGATTGATTGGCTTGGACCAGGCAGTCGAATGAGGCAATGCAAATCAACAACTAGATGAGGTTAGTCGCATTGCGGCCGTTTTTGCGTTTGACACAGGAATCACTGCACTCCTCTTCCTTAGGCGGTCGGAATCGATTTGGAACGCGTGCGCTGGAGGAGGCCGGGGAGTCCCTGAATGCTGGAGCTGGCGGGCTATATCTGTGCACCACCATGTAGCAACTTTTTGCAACTTGGCTTCGAGTCACACGGCCGGTTTCTTTGGGGTCTTGCTTTTGAAGCCCAGTCAGGAGACTCAGGAGTCCTGATTTACCAGTATGCAGCATTAGCTTGGCCACTCTTAACCATTGATCGCATGCAACGGACGCCCGTTTAGGGGTGCAATGAGACAGAGTAAAGTGGGGACACGAGTGAAGGTCGCCAACATCGGGGCCCTTTGACGGCACCCCACTTCCTGAGGCTGCCCGCAGCTCGTCGGCCTGAAAGCAAGCCGCGTCACTCAACGAGCGCACGTGGATGTCAAAGGTGTGCTTTTCTGGGCGAACCTTGAGATACAGTCCACAGCGGCCTGTCCCCCTTTGCACACACTGTCAGAAAAGCAAGTTATGTGGTTTGTCTGTGTTTTCTTTGGGTTTTTGCGCCTGAATATTTGATTGCTCGAGTTTCATGCTTCATGAAATCCACAGTGAGAGCCGCCTATCCCCCAAAGCGTTGTGTGTTTGGAGTTGATCAAAGGAAACCGAAAAAGAAACCACCGATTTTGAGGGGGTCCTTATTTTTAGCCCGACACGCCCGTCCCAGCACACCCTCAAAACAGGCCCAGGTGGGTCGCAACTCGGCGGATGCTTCAAGCTTCAACTGTGAGTGTTTGATGTCAACACCGGCCGGCATGCTAAGACAAATTGATGCTTGTGTTTGCGCTATCTTTCCGGAGAAGCTGTTAGGGTCCTGATCTTTCTCCAGTGGTGAGCCGCCTGCTTCGCTCCGCTTCCTGCTCTATCGATTCCGTCATCTTTGCTTGGCGTGGATGATGTCCAGCAGCTGGCTCAAGCTTTCGAATGATGTTACACATTCTACACCATGCGGTCAAGGACATGCACCGATAGGCAATGAAACGCGCAGGAGAACAGCTTCCAGACAAAATGTTCAGAATGTGTCCCACGTCTTGCCTTGGTTTTTCTCCTTTGACTCGGCATCTTTTCGTGAAAGATGGCTGCTGGGGGAGGCCGTGACGGCGACGGTGCTGCGACGCAGCGAAGGGAAGCTCGGCAGGGCCAAGCTTCCCTTCGCTGCGTCGCTCGGCAGGGCGGCTTCCACGTGCATGTACCCTGCATGCACGCAGACGCCGCCCTGCCGAGCTTCCCTTAGCTGCGTCGCAGCGTAGCGGGGGACAAGGCCGAGCTGGTAGAGTTCCTGCACTTTATACTTGGAGGCCATTTTGGCGGCAAAGAAAAAGTCTGGGCTTGTGTTGGCCAAACCATTTGGATGTTGTGTTATGCTTTTGGGAAGACAGTTTCGGCAGCAAACAGAAAGCCTGGACTTTGGTTGGCGAAACCATTCACGAATTGAGCAGCGGACAATTGACGACACGCCGGAAAGCTACGAATTTTGGAGCATCCTGGCGACTCGGCGGCCTCCAAGGGATGCACCAAGAGAGCATGCCCACATTTGTGACACGCAGAGATACGGGCTGTTCCACAAGAATAGGGCCTTTGCAGGGCCACGCTTCCCTTCGCTCCGTCGCTTGGCAGGGCGGCTTCCACGTGCATGTACCCTGCATGCACGCAGACGCCGCCCTGCCGAGCTTGCCTTCGCTGCGTCGCAGCGTAGCGGGGGACAAGGCCGAGCTGGTAGAGTTCCTTCGCTTTATACTTGGAGGCCATTTTGGCAGCAAAGAAAAAGTCAGGACTTGTGTTGGCCAAACCATTTGGATGTTGTGTTATGCTTTTTGGGAAGAAAGTTTCGGCAGCAAACAGAAAGCCTGGACTTTGGTTGGCGAAACCATTCACAAATTGAGCAGCGGACAATTGACGACACGCCGGAAAGCTACGAATTTTGGAGCATCCTGGCGACTCGGCGGCTTCAAAGGGATGCGCCAAGAGAGCATGCCCACATTTGTGACATGCAGAAAAGCGGGCTGTTGCACAAGAATAGGGCCTGACGCACAAAATGGGAACTCTTCACAATGGGTGACTTTCCTTTGGCTCCCCTTCAAAACAACCAAAGAGCGCACACCCTCAAAACAGGCCCAGGTGGGTCGCAACTCGTCGGAAGCTTCAAGCTGCAACTGTGAGTGTTTGATGTCAACACCTGCCGGCATGCTAGGACATTTTCATGCTTGTGTTTGCGCTATCTTTCCGGAGGATAAACTGACAGGGTCCTTATCTTTCTCCAGTGGCGAGAGACCTGCTTCGCTCTGCTTCCTGCTCTATCGATTCCGTCATCTTTGCTTGGCGTGGATGATGTCCAGCAGCTGGCTCAAGCTTTCGAATGATGTTACACATTCTACACCATGCGGTCAAGGACATGCACCGATAGGCAATGAAACGCGCAGGAGAACAGCTTCCAGACAAAATGTTCAGAATGTGTCCCACGTCTTGCCTTGGTTTTTCTCCTTTGACTCGGCATCTTTTCGTGAAAGATGGCTGCTGGGGGAGGCCGTGACGGCGACGGTGCTGCGACGCAGCGAAGGGAAGCTCGGCAGGGCCAAGCTTCCCTTCGCTGCGTCGCTCGGCAGGGCGGCTTCCACGTGCATGTACCCTGCATGCACGCAGACGCCGCCCTGCCGAGCTTCCCTTCGCTGCGTCGCAGCGTAGCGGGGGACAAGGCCGAGCTGGTAGAGTTCCTGCACTTTATACTTGGAGGCCATTTTGGCGGCAAAGAAAAAGTCTGGGCTTGTGTTGGCCAAACCATTTGGATGCTGTGTTATGTTTTTTGGGAAGACAGTTTCGGCGGCAAACAGAACGCCTGGACTTTGGCGAAGCCATATTCACAAACTGAGCAGCGGATAGGTGGATGTTCTGTTCATTCCAGGTGGTTCCTTTGGCCGCCGGCAAAGATTCTTTTTGGGTTTGCTCAATTTTGGTTGTGTTTCTGATTCGTACCAACCTGAGAGCCTGCTTCAGCATGGAGGGCCAGGGACGCAGAACGTGAACACTTCAATGCTTCCTTGTCACACCTAGCCGGATCCTTGGTTTGAACAGGACGAGCCTCCCACGAGCGCATGGCGTTCCATCCTGCTGTAGCTTCAATGAGGATGGCGTTCTACCCTGCAGCCATGGGGTTGTTCAAGCTGAAGCAGCAGAACTGCGGCCGGAGGACATGGTTTTTGCAGCCTTGGTCTTGACAGGGTCAGAAGGTCTTCATGCCATGCATGAGACCTTTTGATCCTCTCAAGACCAATGCTATATAATCATCACACGCCACGCAGGGTGCTCGCATGCCACTTGTAGATGTGATGGCCTCGGAACAAGCCTCCAGCCGGCAGGCGCAGGGCTCAAAGTTAAAGACATCGGCCGACGTTTTTTTTCAAGGGCCGACGGGACGCCTGGAAGGATAACTTCCTGCTTGATGTGCCGTCGTGGGGTGTGTGTGTGTGTGTTGTGTGTGGGGGGGGGGGGGCAAAACCTGGTGTTCTTTATTTGATTCAAGTTGACGGAAACCTTGCCCCACTCACTTGCAACCTCACCAGGCCTTAACGGGGCCAATCCCGGCGGGGAAGTTTCTGCAACGCATTGAATCTATTCACACTGGTGGCAATAGAGCTTGGGGCAGTGGAGCCAAAGGCGGGGCTTCGGAAAATGGTTCTGGACACGGGCAGGGGCTTTGCCTTCTTTCATCGTTGTTTGCTTTTGCTTGGCTGGCGCTTGACTTGGCTTGCGTTTGTTAAGGTTCCTTGTCACACCCAGCCGGATCCTTGGTTTGAACAGGACGAGCCTCCCACGAGCGCATGGCGTTCTATCCTGCTGCTTGGGTTGTTCAAGCTGAAGCAGCAGGAACTTCGGCCGGAGGACATGGTTTTTGCAGCCTTGGTCTTGACAGGGTCAGAAGGTCTTCATGCCATGCAGGAGACCTTTTGATCCTCTCAAGACCAATGCTATATAATCATCACACGCCAAGCGGGGTGCTCGCATGCCACTTGTAGATGTGATGGCCTCGGAACAAGCTTCCAACCGGCAGGCGCAGGGCTCAAAGTTAAAGAGGCTTTGCTACAGCGGGTCATTCACAATGGGTGGTTTGCCCTTGGCTCGCCTTCAAAGCAACCCTAGAGAGTCTACTCTTAAAACAGACACCCTGGGTCAATTCAGGGGCCTCTACAAGCTGCAATTGGCAGTGCGTGATGTGAACATCGGCCTGCCAAGGAATATTAATGCTTGAGTGTTTGCAATCTTTGTGGAAATGTGTGCGCAAAAGGGTCCTGCTCCGTTGATTCGGCTATCTTTGCGAATGGATGATGATGATGTCCGGCAGCTGGCCCAAGTCAGCATCAAGCTTTCAAATGATGGTACACGTTCTACCCCACGCGGTCAAGGACATGCAACTATCTTAGATGATACCCAACTGCAGGAGCATTTACAGTAATCCCGCTCTTGCTTCAGGTCATGTACTTCTGCCTGTCCCACGCCACACGTTACCGCATGTTCGTACCAACAATGTCATGTAAGTATGCTCTGCACATGTCACCTGTGCCCTGGATCTGTCTAGTCAAAACCCCGACGTGGGCTCTGAAGGGGTTCCGTTCAATCCGTTTAGGTGTTCGCTCAATGCCCCCGTTCAGAAGTTCAGTACCAGTCGTAACACCCGGTGAAGAACGATGCCGCTGCCGATGGCCGTGACGGCCACCGTGCTGCGGCGCAGCGAGGGAAAGCTGGGCAGGGCGGCTTCGGCGTGCATGCAGGCGGGGCGTCACGGAAAACAAGCCGATGCCTGCACTGAAAGAAAAATACGTTCGGGGAAGAGGAAACAAAAAGTTGAGGACCTCTGTTGGCCAGTTCATTCAGGGGAGGGCCGGAGCACATGTGGATACTCTAGGTCTGGATTCTACTGCACGGAGGGTCACGCACAGGGAACGCGATCATACAATGCTTGCTCAGCTGGGAAACGATGCCAGGGTGCTCGGGATATTTGTTTGCTGACCCAAAAGTCGACAAGGATTGCTTGATGAAGCCTCTGGATCTTGGGATGTGTCCAGACCAGAACAATCTGGTTTCCAAAGGCTGGGGGATGCATGCCGTGTTTCATCATCCTGTCATGTTTCATGAAATGCAAAGTGTTTCCTAGTTGCCCAACTTGTTTTTCTTTTTTTCCGCTCGGAAGCTTACATTGACACACAGCTTCTGAGATTTAGTCCACTGCTTGTGTGTAAGTCTGCACCTGAGCAAGTCCACGCCCCACGCCTGGCTTTGACTGCACACCAAGTGTAGGATTCCCCTCCACCAACCAGGATTTCCACATCCCCGGTGGCCCTCATTCAAACCAACGGGGGCCACAGGCGAACGATGAGATCCCACGAGGCTTGCCCAAAGCATCCAGATGGCCAATCAAGGGGCGCAGAAGACTTGCGGTCTTATACTATGGATGGACGAAATCCTGCACCGCCTAAGAAACCCTGCCCCTGTACACCAACTAAATGGTTTTTCCACGGTTTCTGAACAGGATTTCGTCCGGCAGTATCTCCACAGTGTGCGCCAGGGCTACAGAAGCCACTTCGAGGACTTCCATGTTTGCGACCAGATGGCGGGTCTCGTCGGTGTATTTGACGGCCACCTGGGCGACGAGGCGGCGGCCTTTTGCGCGGAGAGACTGCCGCTGCATTTGGCCAAGGCGCGGCAAGGGCTGTGGGCGCTTGTGGCAAATTGGCCGAAAGCCATGGGGTTTTCACATGTGGAAAAATTTGTTTGGGGGGAGCTTTTCAACATTGTTGTCCTCTTGGTTCCCCTTTGAACCCATTAAAAAGGGTACCACCAAACAAGGACACATCCATATAGAACACCTGGCGCTGGTTGTCTTTTGGCTTTCACGAAGGCTAGCTGTGCTTTGGGTTCTCCTTGCTTTCTCTATTGGGGCTGGGCCAGCTTCAGGGATGTATTGTTTCAGTCTTCGGGGGGTACAGATTCGGATTGCTTCCGGAGACCAACTCTTTACTGCGTGGTGCCCCCCCACCCCCCTCTCCCCCCCCGCGAAGGATTTGTTTCCCCCCTGGTCCGCCCAACTCCGTAATTTTGTCAGCACTTCTGCGGGTAGGGTATTGTTTTAGGACCTGGTCCGAATTCGGGTCTGAGTGACTTTTTGGGTGGTTATTATTAGTATCTTGGAAAGCCACTGGGTTGCACATGTCGCACACGTTGTTGGGCTGGCTAGCTTTCGTTCACCTGCCGCTCAAGCCCCTTAAAGACGCAAACGCCATCCAAGATTCTAGCTGGCACCTATTCAGGACACATGAAGCAATATCCACAAGCTTGGGGATGCCACTTTCAATTTGGGCGGACAACCCTAACTGGGCAGACTTTTCAAAACGTCCTTTGCTGCGGAAGCAATGCTATTCGGCCCCCCCTCAAGGTTGAAAGATTCAGAAACAAACAGTTTTTGGAGGGTTCCCCTCCCCCCCCCTTCCCCCCTCTTCATGTTTTCGCCAATCGGACGGTACCGGGAAAGCTAGGTTTAAAGTAAAAGGAATCTGCGTTCTATTCTCCTGTTCTGGAAAGGGCCATGATGAACCAGGGGGAGTTTTTGTTATTGGGGGGGACTGTGAAGGTGTGAGCTTGAAATACCCGCCATTGGCCGTCTCCAATTTGGTAGACCCGTTTTGGGCCCCAAAGCTTCCGAGCTTTCTTGAGTCAGATCTCACGTTTCCAGAGAAAGCCATGAGGCTTTTCTGAGCCTTGAGTCAGATGTCAAACCTCGAGGCGTTTGGTCGGCGCTTTCGCGTGTTGTCGTCCCGCCCCTGGCCGTGAGAGTGCGACGTTCGGCGAGAGGCTGCCACGGCCTGCGAGTGGGAGCAGGCCTTCAAGGCCTGCGACGCGGAGCTGCGCGCGCGCCTTCCGGAGACCGATGCGGGCACCACAGCGGCTTGGGGATCAAAGGGGCCGGGAGGAGCGGATTTGAGTCAAACCCACAACGGTCAAAGGAACATGGTCCTAGGTGACACAAAAAGTCGTGCTCAAGCAGACAGTTACACCTGGGGCTATATATATATATAGCTGTCGTTCACATGTACGTTCTGTTTTCCACAGCTGCTGTCCTGTTGCTGCGAGCATACCCAAGACCGTTAAGTGCGCGTGGCCGCTCTGGAGTGGTGATGTGACAGAAAATTATTCAAAGCAAATGATTCAACTGATGAAGCCATCCGGTCAAAAGTTGAAAGACAGCCTTTTGACATCTAGACGCCCGTGCACGAGCTCAGCTCCGGCGAGAGCTACTGCAGCTCGCAAAGTGCTCCCATCAACGCATGTTGGACAGCGGTTTCACAGCGAGGCGATGTCTATGGTGGCCTTCCAATTGCTCAACTCGCTTGAAGTGCGAGCTCGGTAAGTGTTGCACGCGCAGTGGAAACCGAAAGCTGACAAACGCCTACCCACACACATACTGTAGTAATGTAAATACATATACATATTCATATATATATATATATATACACGCATATTGCACATGTGTATACACATATAGAAATACAAGATGCGGCTGGCTTTAAACAATGCTGCTCACAATGTGGTTAAGTTTAGACAGCCTGGACTAAGCAAGCGTTTGCAAAGTCTGCAGACTCTGTGCTCTATAGACAGACTTGTTCTAGTGATTCATTTGCAAACCGCAGCTATGTCTCAAGCTTATAGGCAATTCCGTGAGCGAAGAACTGCTAAACGTATTGCCCAACGTATTGGGTAGATTGGGGGCGACTTACAGGCTATCCCCTCGCCGCATTTGATTCTGCGGCCACGCGTTGTGAGTTCGGATAAGGAGGGTGTGTGGCAGTGGGGGTGGAGGGGAGACTTCTTATTTTATTCAGAAAAGGTCTGAGAAGGCTGGAAATGCGAGAGGGCTCAGGGAGCATAAGAGGGCCGAAAACATTCCCTGCGTCACATGGGATCCTGCGCATGTGCGCAAACCTCCTCGGTCACGACTTGGAGCAGTCTTGGAGCGGGCAGGGCGATTTTACGTGTTTCAGTCTGCGCAACCTTGGCCAGTGAACCCTCGTGGACTTTCGGTGGTCGACCGTAGGAAACTGAGGGTTTTCTGCCTTGCTCACTTTTGCGGGTGAGAGAGAGTGAAAAAGAGAACGTTGAAAGATAGATAGAGAGAGAGAGAGAGAGAACGCTACAATCGAAGGAAGAAGAGCAAGGGAACGATGAAAGAGCAAGAGAAGGAGAAGGAGAAGGAGAACGAAAAAAGAAGAAAAACAAGGAGAAGGGATAAACAAGAGAAATCATAAGAGAAAGAGAGAGAGAGAGAGCAAAATACAACAGAAGAAAATGGAAGACGAAGAGAAAGAGAAACTTAACGAGAAAGCGAAACAGAAGAGAAAGGGAAAACAACAGAGAAAGAGACAGATAAAGAGAAAGAGACAGAGAAGGGAAAGACAAAGAAACAACAGACAAAGAGAAAGAGAAAGAAAGGAGAACAACAAACTGTGGGAGTATTGTTTTCCGTGCGCTATACATTGCTATGAACATTTTGCAGTGTTTTCTGCTATCCTGTATTTCCAGCTCTTGCCGAGCCTTTGTGTGCATATAATATGTATATATATATATACACACAGTTAACTAAGGCCAAGATCGCACAAGTGTAAGACCAAGAACCCTTGAGAAGACCAAACAATCAGAAGCTTGAACACACAAATACCCCCCCCCAAAAAAAAAAACGAAAAGAAAATAAAAACAAGAAGCAATCCTCAGACAGTCTTTCCACTGGGTCAAGCCAGCCCAAGGCCCATAAAACTAAAAGCCTTCATAAAAAAACACAGTTCAGCCACAAGAACCAACACACGCCAACGAAAACAGTCCTCAGATACTTTTTCGAGAAGTAGGCGCTCACTGTGCCAAGAGTTCCGGGAGTTGTTGTTATGTGTTGGTTTTCCTTTGATTTGGTGGAAGGACCAAATCTGAGCTGTCCGTATATTTCAGTTGAATGGTATCATATTTGGCTGCTACCCCAGCGTTTTCTATTACTAGTATAAATTTCAAAGGATCTTCATCAACACAGGTTATACTCACCTATTGGACAAATGATCTCCATTTCCAAAGTTTGAAACATCAGCATATACATTGCTTTTATACCTACAATGGTCCAAACATATACGTGTCGTGTTGGCGTGCTTCAGCATACTCGTTTCAAACGAAGGAACAACATACTCCCGGACAGGAGTTCGTACTCATACACAAAGCCAGCGCCGCAATGACCGGGTAGTGCACTACCGGGAGGGGAGAGAGAAGGGGGCGGAGGGTGCTGCAGACCAACTGTTTCGCTTTAGGTTCAGGTCAAAGGAATTGGTTCAAAAGTGTATCGAGGCCAACGCCACAAACAATGTAGGTTCTCGTTTCAAGCTCCATTTTCTTTGTTTGCATAGGTCGAAGCATTGTTGATGGTTCCCCATAATGTTGACCTCAACCGTCGCACACACCCGGTACTTGGGGACCTTGATTTGGTTCGTGCTTCAGATGGGAAACAACAACTTGTACATGGACTCGTGCCATTCCTTCTTGAATACACGTCTCAAGGTGGACTTGTCGTGTTTTAGAGGACCCTTGGCAATTGGGCCATGAACAAAGAGGGATCAGCGAGCGATAAAACCCCGAGGCCACGATTGTGCGCGTCAAGGAGAACTGCTCCCAGGACTGGGCAGAGACAGCCTCGGCGCACGCTCCAGACTTTCCAGAGGTCCGGGTATGTTGCGTTCCCGAAAATATGCCACTGACATCGACCTGGTATTTTTGCAAAAGGGAGCACGCCAATTTAGGATATAGTATCCTCGCTGTTTGGTCTGCTGATTTTCCAGCCCTGAGCTTGTTTTGCGGTGGCCCCGCAGCTGAGTTTTGCTGAATTGTGCGGCCGCAGGATTCTCTGGAGCTCTTGGTGGGAAGTTGTGGAGATAGTCGCGCTCTCTTATGGCAGAAGGCGAGGCATGGGGAGCTGGAGGGAACGACGTTTGACAAACAACTCCTCAAAGAGGTTCCTACACTTTACTTGAAGAGGTTGGCTGTTTCTTGTCTCTTAGAACGGGGCTTGCAACGTGTAACTCATCGGAAGTGGTGTTAGTTCAAGGCCGAGACTGGTTAGAAAGCTTAAGGATTATGCTTTAGGATTTGAGGAATTCCCGATACCCACATTTGCAATTTACTGCTTTCCTCCCATCGATCTGTTGTGTGCTCGATCTGTTGTGTGCCACGCATGTGTGGAAGCAGGGGCCTGCAATCACTACCGGGGGATGCTGAGCAAACACAACCTATGGCTGGTTGGGAACCCCTTAGCAAAAGGACTTCAAATTCGGCAGACAGCCACCTCCTGCGTTCGCGTCGCTCGTGTCGCTCGTGTCGCTCGTGCAGGAGAGCAACACGCTCATCTCGACACGAGACCATCGGCCCGACGACCCGGAGGAGCGCAGGAGAATAGAAGCTGCTGGCGGAGAAGTCACCAAGGACCCTGGTGCCCTGAGCTGAATGAGTTGCACAGGGAGGCGACAGGCCAAGAAAGCAAGCAAGCTAACCAACCCAAGCCAGAGCCGCGTAAAGTTGCTCACCCCAAGACTGAAAACCACCACTGTAACTAATGTGATGTTGCCCAATCACAAACATCGACAGCGCACACCTCAGGAGCGTCCAGGCAGAAGGACTTTTGACCTCACATCACGCAGAGCAATGCAGTTGATTTTTGGTTGATGATCCTGCATCCTCCTCTCCAACTCCAACACGCAGGGCCTTCTTTCAGGTTCCGCATCAGTATGAGGGAGAGAGAGGGCGAGAACCTACCGCTAGTTCTGCTCATGCTGTTTGTGTCATATTGTTCCACTTGAGGCTTGGGAAATCTCGCTTGATCCCAGTGTGCACGTGTTGGATGTTACAAAATAATGCCACGAAACTTGTTTAACTTCCAGCTGTCTTGCTTGCTTGTTTGCTTGCTTGCTTGGCCTTGCTTGGCTTTCTTGCTTAGCGCTGCTTGCTTGCCTGCTTGCCTGCTTGGCCTTGCTTGACCATGCTTTCTTGAATGGCCTTACTTGCTTGCTTGCTTGCTTGACCTTGCGTTCGTGTTTGGTCTTGCTTGCTTGTTTGGCTTCACTTGGCCTTTCTTTCTTGCTTGTTTGCATGCATGCTTGCATGCTTGCTTGCTTTCTGTTGGCTGACTGGCTGGCTTGGCAGTTCTTTGCTGCGCTTGAGATGTCTTCCGTTTCGCAAGGTTCCTGGGCCCGCCCAGCCGGATGTTGGTTTCAACAGGACGACCCCCCGCGGGTGGATGGCCTTTTGTCCTGCAGCCGTGCCCTGGGGGCCTTCGAGCTGAAACAGCAGCAACTTCCGCCGGAGGATGGGCTAGGGCTTGGGCTAGTCTCGCTGCTCAGCAGGGAATGAGGGGTTGACCCCTTTGAACCATTCCCTATGGTTTCCTTTAAGGGAATCCCAGGTTCATTCTCTCATGCCGAGCACCAGCAAGTAGTGCTGAGGTGATGTTTTTTTTGATACTCGTCGGATTCCATTCAGTGCATGTCATCGCGATGAGCCATATGGGGACATGTAGCAGCCAAGTTGTGAGTCTTGGTCTCGACAGGACCAAAAAGTATCCTGCATGCCAGACATGTACAACTGGCATGCCAAGCGAGGGGACTGGCTGATTCTTGCCTGTGATGGCATTTGGGACTGCCTTTCGAACCAGCAGGCGCAGGGATCAAAGTTGCAAGCATTGGCCGCATGTTTTGCCAGAAGGGGTGATCAAAACTCCGGATTAATAGCCCCGTGGTTGATGTATCGGAGGGTCCATTTAAGTGTTCCTTTACTCTCCGGGAACACCCGCTGTTAGTCCGCAAGGCCAATTCAAAGCGGGGTTCGCGTTATCCAAATCAACGCCTGGCATGCTATTTTCTACATTTTATCATGTTGCAACAAACAAGTGTAAGCTCGCCTGGGTCCTTAGTTGGGTCTCCGACTCACTTTGCGCCTTCCGGCAGGTGGTTGACAAAGTTTGCCGCGGGACCAATGGGAAAGACCTTGGCAAGACAGTGGAGGACGTGATCGGGCAAAAACTGGTTCGTTTGCGAACGGGCGATGGCCGCAATGACAATGATATAACCGGTCTCCTAATTGTGTCCTGAAGTGAGGCACCTATGTGTGTCTATATGTGTTCCTATTGGGAGGCAACTCCATGTGTCCTGAAATGAGTTGTCTCCTATTTTCCGGCAACATGTCCTGTGGCCAGCTTCTTGGATCAAACCTGCTCGGCAGGGTCACTATATTCCCCACACAATCGCGCCGGCCAGAGGAAGACTCATGAAACTAGAAAGTGAGTTTGCAATTTGCTGGTTTGCTTGATTCACCTGCCCCACTCGCTACCTGCTTCTCCTCGTTTGGGGAGAAACGTGTGGTGCCGGGATCGATCACGGCGCCGGAACATGGGACCTCCAGCCCTGAGGAGTTGCTGCAGCTGTGCATCCGGCGCGAGGCAGATGACAACCTCACGCTGGTGGCGATAGAGCTCGGTGCTGTGGAGCCAAAGGCGGGGCTCCGGAAAATGCGCGGGGCCCCGTTTCCAGGCGCGGGAAGGCCAGAAGAGCCCGTTGGGTCAATTGTAGGATGTCCGGATGCAAGTGATTGTGAGCAGATCCCTTCGGCAAGGGCAGATTCGAGATAGTGCCAGCAACATGTGAAACATGTCGGACCTGTTCGAAAGCTATTGTGGTAGAAGAGATTCTTTCATTGAGTATAGCCGCATCGTACGCTTAGGGGCGGTGTTGAACCTTAGCTTGTTAGTTGCCACTTAAACTTGAGTTGTTTTTTGGCACTGTGATGCTTTGAAAGAAAACACACCTTCGGAAACCCATCGGACGCTTATTGGATCCAAGGACCTGAAACATCCCCAAATCGCTTTCACTCCTTCAGTGGGATGAGTAGTTTCTTTTACTATGCATGCTATGTGTTTTTTCTTTAGCGGGGTCGCGCTGAGGGGAAACTCAGGGGAGGTCCTTTTTGCGAAGGCCAAAGGGAAGAAAATCAGATGTACACCTGATGTGATAGTGTGTGTGTGTTCAATTGGCAGCCTCAGACCCTGAAGGATGATACAGTTACGATGAATGCTGGCGACTTTTTGAAAGCGAGAAGAGAGGAAGTGCCGCGGACTCAGTGTAGTCACTCAACTTTGCTTGTGACCGCTAGCCGCCAGCCAACCTAGCGTGAACCAACGTGACAAGAGCGCAAGTCCTGCATGATATGACTATGAGACACCTCGGATTCAGTGCCATTGTAGTTTACCGGAGAGTGCTTGTTGATTGCTACGGGAAGAAAGATCACTGCCCACCAAGGCGCCCACACACACACACACACACAAACGCGTCCGAGTCACGAATTCTTCCTCAGGTTTTTCTTATGCCAACCTTTTGTTGTTTGTTTTAACTGGAAGCTGTTTCAAAAGAAAGACAAAATAATTGGACACTCAAAAGGCTGAGACAGCATTCTGGGACCAACAGCCGCATTTGGCATAATGGAAGAGTTTTTCAGGAGCTACCCTTTGACAAAGGACCCCTCATTGCCTCAGATGTTTCCACATAATCACTCATTTGTACAGGAATTTGTGCTTTGGGCCCAACAAATGGCCGGT